CCTTTAGAACTTTATTAGCACTCTATAAACTCCTAGTTATGCTATTTAGCCTAACTAATGCCCTAGCAACCTTCTAAAGAGTAATTAACACCGCTCTTAACCTATACCTAGATATCTTTGTGCTAGTCTACCTCAACAACATCCTTATCTACACAAAAGAAGATAAATTAGATCATGTAGCAGGAAGCAGCAACTAGCAGGCTAATGCTCTTAGCCAACACACTAACTATTTTAACAAAGATAAAGAAACCTTAGAAGAATTTACAATATTTAAGGAAACCTTTAAAGGGTTAATCTACAGAGGACTATAATAAAAGGAATAATTATGTTCTCTTACAATTATTAAACAAGAATAGAAAAACCTAATAAGAGAATATTATAAAGCTTCTATGTTTAGACATCCTAGAATTAGATTATTATAGAAAAAGATTAAAAAAGCAATACTATAAGAGGTGCCCTAGCTAAAACACCTGTGCACTAAAGTTCTACAAGAATGCAATATATGCAACAAGAATAACCTATAATAACATAAACCCTATAGGCCGCTTTAACTAATTACAGCGCTAAGTTAACTATAGAGCATAGTAACTATAGACTTTATTACTAGACTACCCCTGTCACGCAAACTAGGCATAGAAAGACCCTGTAATATAATTACTCTAGTTATAGACAAAACTATAAAGTTTATCTACTTATAAGCTACAGAAAAAAGCATTACAGCTAAGAAATTTATATATAAATTAAAAAGAAATATATAGTTAATTTATAGTTACTAAAAAATAATTATATCTAATTAAGACAAATTATTTACTAGTAAATATTAAACAGCTGTAGTACAGCATTGTAGAATTAACTATAGACTCTCTACCGCCTATTATCTACAAACAGATAGACAAACAGAACAAGTAAACACAGAAGTAGAAAAGTACCTGCGTAAATATGTAACATATAGATAAGACAATTAGGTAGAATAGCTACTTATAGCCTAGCTTACTATAAACACTACAAAATCTTCTATAATTAAGGAAACCCTTTATAAAGCAAATTTTAGGTACTTTTTAAGATATAAAATAGAGGCTACACAGCCTACTAATTCCATAGAAGCTATAAATTAAACTAGAAAGCTTCTTAAACTACATTAAAAGTTAACTAAAGAAGCATAGTTAGCTTAGAACACTATAAAAAAGGTAGCAGACTAAAAACACTAACTAGCGCTAGAAATCTACCTAAATAACTATGTATACTTAGACATAAAGAACCTTAAAACACTAAGGCCCTCTAGAAAGCTTACAGAGAAACGTATAAAACTCTATACAGTTATATAAACATGTTCTAGCACCTACAAGCTTAAGCTACCTAAAGAAATAAAAATACACTTTTAGTTTTATGTCTTTAAGCTTAAGCTTACCTTTAAAAGCATCCTACTAGCAACAGCTAGTTAGAAAAAGAAGGAAAAGAAATATAAAGTTAAAAATTTTTTAGACTACTGAAGAAATAAGTACTTAATTAAATAAAAAGAGTAGCCTTGTTAGATATACGCACCTGCTGTCAAGACAGGAGGAACGCTTGACGAAAGCTGCGACATAGTACAAGCAATAAGCTTGAACAGTATGTTGCTGCAAATTGCTGCATGTTGCAGCAAATTGCAGCATGTTGCAGCAAATTGCAGCATAGATGGATGGATGTCTTTATTACGCCCGGCTCTAGCCTAGAGGGCACTAGTAGTTTATTACATAAGCAATTCCTTAGTAATAGCATACCTTCTAATAGCCTATACATGTAAAATATCTATCTCTCTGTATTTTCCTAGCAAACTCTTCTATACCTTTTATATTTAGTAAGTAGTAAGTATTTTTAAGGCTCTCTTTTTTAAGTATTTAGTGTCTCTTTGTTAGCAAATAAAGCAGAACCTGCTAGCGTATAAGTGTTAGTATAGTGTAGGATTATTCTTAAAGTTGCAAGATCCTAAGAGTTCTGCAATTGCGTACAGCAGCTGTGCAACAGCAGCAGTAGGCCTTGTTTATAATAGGTAATAATAGTGTGGGTTTTAAAAAGGGTTCTAGTTGCTCTAGAACTAGAGTTCTAAGTTGTGGACAGAGAGAATAGGTAATAATTAATGTAGCAAGCTACAGTAGGGCAGCGTAGTTTTTAGGCTTAATGTTCTAGCTTTTAAAGTAAGGGCTAGTAGTTTAGATGCTAAGAGTTAGAGAGAGTAACATAAGTGTAAGAGGAATAGTAGCAGTAAGGTGTTTTTGCTAGGGCTAGATAGCGTACTAGCAGCCACACTTGCATATAACTGCTAAGAAGGTATGCGTAATAACAGTAGGTAAGACAGCAATAAGCGTAGCAGTAGTTAGTGTAGTAACAATAGGCGCAGTAACAGTAAGTAAGGTAGTAATAAGTATATTAGCAGACATAACTTAGACTGCTAAGATAAGAATAAGTTAAAAGAAAAGGTAGACAGCAGTCTAGCTGTTAGTGTTGTTTAAGAGCTTTAAAAAGTAGCAGCAAAGGCAGTGTTAATGTCTTAGTAGCTAAGAAAATCTAGTATTATATCTACTAATAGACAGTCTTACTTATAAAACTTAAGTAAATCTTTATTACTTAGTTTTATAGCTTTATAAAGTAACATAATCTTTATTTTGTAGATTAAGTAGGTACATATATATTCTTAATCTTTATTCTCTTCTGTGTATATAAAGCCGCATGTTGCTAGCTGCGTTAGGGATGCAGCTACGCATTTCTATGTAGATAGGAACATAGTGTGACGTGACTAAATTGTTTAGAAGGATTGCAACGCGTTAGATAATAATGGTGAATTAGTTTAGCATAGGTAAGACAGTGACGGTGAAGCGGTTTGGTGTGTATACGTGTTTGATGGCGGCGGCGAGGTAGGTCGGCTCGATGGAGGTGATGCAAGTGACGATAGAGTCTCAAATATATTCGAATTTGCTCCTGCTGCCATTTTGGGCGCTCCCCCGGTTCTCCAATTGCAGCATGTTGCAAGCTGGTCGCGCATAGGGCAAGTGCGCGAGGGACTCGGATCGGAAAAACAAAAGCCGAGCAACACAAGTAGAGCAGAAAAAGGATCGAAAAATCAATACAATCAATCATCATCCCATACATCATATCCAAACCCATCATTCATCTTAGGAAGCCTAGAAACAGTGCTTTAATCTGACAAGCCTACTAGTAAAAACACTTAGAAACTTATTAGAAGTTTATTAAATGCTTCTCTAATCTTTTATAACTACCTAAAGTCTCTTCTAATTAAAACTACCCTAGAGAAAGCTTCTTAGACTAGAAAGCACTATTATTAATTAAAACTATAGTAGCATTAGCTAGCTGTAATGTAGGAAACCTATAACCCTTTAACATAGGCTGTAGAGAAGGAAGGCCTACAGCCTTAGCCTTAAGCGCCTTTAGTTTATCTAAAGTTAAAAAGTCTTTTTTTAAATACTTTACTTTTTAATCTGCTAGCAACTCTAGCTGCTTTTACACCTGCTTTTAATAAGTAAAAAAAACCTTAAGCTGTGTAAAAGACTTTTTTTACCTCTTTAAGAATTTCTTCTTCTTCTACATCTTTTTCTCTTAGGCAGCCTTTAACTCCTTAGATAAACACTTCTACTTCTGCTCTAATTAATCCTAGGCTATGTTAGAAATAAAAGCATTACAGTAACTCCTTTTTTTTAAGCACTCTACGCAATTATCTAATAATAAGGTTATTACACAAGATAAACTACTTAAACAGTATAGCCTATAAAGACGCATTTTTAAACATTACAAAGGATTAAATTAGGCTACAGTACGTAGACAACGCTAGGCAGCAGAAAAACGCTAACAAGGTATAGTTAAAATAGATAAAGAATAAAGAGACCTTTATAAAAGAGCATCTACTAACTAAAAAAAAATTTTAACACTTAGAATAGTATAAGCATAACAGCAAAGACGCTAACTAGAAAGGGAAGCTGTGTGTTATAACTTATAATTAAACTATAAGTAACTAATTAGCAGTGCCTTATGGTTTAAATAACTAAGAATAGAAGATTCTTAACCCTGTCCTAAATTAGTTATGTAATAAGACAGAAGAGAAATAGCTCTAGCTATTAGACAGATGTATAGAGGAATGCATTGTCTAATAGAGAGGCCACTCGCCGTGCGCGCAATGCGCGCAGCGCGCGCAGAGCATGCATTGCATGCAAACCTTTGTATATAGTTTTAATCACAACTATAGTTAGAAGAGCGTAATTACTGTTTAGTCTTTTTATACATAATAGACTAAGAGGCATAGACACTTTTTAATAAGGGTCTTACTGCCTTGTATATTTAGCTACATATATACCTCTTGTTCTATCCTATAAGAGGATTAGTTTCCTAGCTTACTATACAGCTTCCTAGGCAAACCACAACCTGCCTTCCTTTATTACGCCATACCCATACTCTGCCTAACGGACTGTACACCTGATCAAGCTAAGTCCTTTCCATTCCCTCTCTAACCGAACAAAAGGCCGTAGTGCTCCGAAAACACCACTTCAACGGAGCAAGGATTGTAACAGAGGGCCGTCCACTAATAGTGTTCGTAGGATTCTAATACCGTCCGACACTCGCTTACAGCCCTACCCCGGGTTGTAACATATAGATTCTATATAAGAACAGAGCTCTATACCACTATGCTAATATAAATAAAAAGGTGCGAATAATTAACTAGTTAACAGTTAATTGTTACGTACAGAATAGTATATATACCTGTCGCACGTAAGCGCCATCTTGGCCTTACATTCTACAGAAGCTTAAATGCTTAAAATTTAACCTTTTTAGATTACTTAAAAGGCTACTAGTATTTAACCCTTTTATTAGTGTGCTGAAGGTTAATTAGTATATGTATTGTTAATTAAAGTACAAGGTGCTTAGATTTTATTAAAGTAGACTGTTTGCTTGTGTAGATCGCTCGCTTGTGAAATACGTCATGTGATGGATGTTTACGTAGTATTGAAAGGCTTATATCATCTCATAATATATTTCATAGCCCGGTGAAACCCAACCCTATTGTCTATCAAGGTGCACTAGAACCCAAGTTTTCGCAGCAGCAATATGAGCACAAGTACTAAACACCCATCCACTTTTCAGTTTTTGCATCATCTATAGCAGCAGCATATTTATGCTCGATCAGCCATTGATCTAGGTCGTGTTTCTCCGCACATTTTGAATAGAATTCGTCCAAAGTTTCATTCAGGCCTGTGCAGGCTTAGATAAGAAAATATAGAAACAGTGCTAGGGGCATACTTTGCAAGGAAATTCCACGAGAAGGTTGTAGAGAAAAGGTCGCTCCAAAGTCATTGAATAAGGTCATGCTAGTCGGTAGCTGCGTTCCTGGTCAATGTCAGCAATATTGTTACTCAACTCTTAATTAGTATTTACCTTTCGCAATGCGAAATAGAAGAGGTTTCTCAATGCTTTTGCCACCCTCAACATCCTCAAGGTAGTAATCATAAAACATCCGCACGTGTTCTTGCATATTAAATGTATTTGGCATGAAGAGTGCTCCATTAGCGACTAGTTGGAAAGGATCAGCATGTCTTTACACACATTTGAATTATATTTACAAACATGGCATGTCTCGGTATACTGCAGGATGAACAAGCCCATCGGTGGCTAACTTGACTCCATCACTCCCATACTTGGTGTCCCGATATTCCTGACTAACGGCATCATAATCGAAAAGATTAGACCTTGGACCTTGATTGAAGTGATACAATGTGGCTGGGAATGAGGAATGGGATGCGATTGGTGAATATTTTCTTATATGTATCGCAAAGATGAATCGGTTACTGCGGAGGGAAAGAACGCGTCGAAGGAGAGGAGTCCGTGGTAACAACATTGACATGAGCGAGTCCGCCGAAAACTAATCGGAGAAAGAAATTCGCAGGTTATAGCGTACACGGTGATTCGCGACCAGGATAACCGAGGCAGAAGTTCTATGCAACTTCGTTCGAGGCCGCGTTTAGAGGAAAGCTTCAAGTAACGAAGAAGACGTTTAGGAAGGTTGGTGAGAGAGAAGTCGAGAAACCGCTCTTAGCTTCAGGAGTGCGGCACAGCAACGTTCGTGCGTTTTATCTAGAGTTAGTGCGGGGCGACGCGCCAAGGCGAATTAAACTTACCGTGTCCCAAATGGCCAGAGCTCCTGCCGATGCGCCAAGGGAACCAGAAAAAATTTCCTTACTGTTACAATGTAAGAGCACTGTGAAGCAGGAAGCATAAAGCGCAAAAGAGGGTACAGGATAGTATTAATAGAAAAATCCTTAAGAAGACTTAGAGGTTTAGAAGAGGATACTGTTACGACCACTGGTTGGGCCAGAGGAACATGCAGGTCTCCAACGCCACGGAGACGGACCGATGCCGGGTGGGGGCACGGCCCGCAGAGGTCACGTGACGCCCGGGACAGGTATAGTGTAATAACAAGGCTTAGACAAATGCGTACATAGACTTAGCAGGTAGTCGCAAGACTTGGCAGATGGTTGCAGTGGTCGCAGAATAGTTCTACAACTACTGTTAAAAACCTGCAACTACTGCAACTACACCTAAGTATATAGTCTTAACCTTTCTTCTTTATTTAAAAGGTTGTAGTTATTCTTATCTTTAAGGCAGAGCCTTAGGTATAGTAATATATATAATATCTTCTTTAATATAACGTACATTACAGGCGAGTTGCTTATACACCTAATTTGCTTACTTTTACTAAGACTACACTACACTACTTAGACTTGTTAAAGAAATGTTTAATATAGCTTATACTTTAAGCTATTAAATAAAATATAACACTTTTTAAGTAATATGCTATAGCTATTTATAAATTCTTTTAAAAAATAATAAGTAACTAACATAATAATCTTTTTAAGCTAATTATATAGCTAACTTATAAAAGCTAAATAATAATAAAAAGTAAGTAATTATTAAGAACATACTGTTGCTAGATGCGTAAAGATGTCTCTTCTAGCTAGTAGCTATAGCTAATATAGGCTATATTAGTATAAACTAGTTTAATATGTTTATTAAGTGTTACCTAAAGCTTAAAGCAAAGTTTAAGTATAAGTATTACTATAAAAAAGCTTTTTGTAAAAGTTTTATAGTAATTTAAAGCTAGTTTAACTTTATAAAAAATATTAAAGCTAAGTATAGCATGTAAAATAATAACATATATAACTTTAATAAAATAGAGTTTATAATAAGCTAAATATCTACTAGAGTAGTTATTATAAGTTTAGAAAAATAAAAATAGCTAAACGTAGTCTAACTAGGTAACTAGAAGTAAATAACAGCTATTTAGAGTATAAATGCTAAAAAGTAGGCTATTTTACTTTTTATTAACGTACATTACAGGCAAGTTGCTTACACACTTAAGTTACTTACTTTTACTAAGACCCTACTAAACTACTCTATTTTTTTAATTACAGCTATATATGTTTCTATTGTTTATCTATATGCTTCTTTTAATATGTATTTACAGTAATAATTTTCTAGCAGCATTTTAACTATAGAGCAAGTGCTTTTACAGTAACTGTGGAGGATAAAATAGCCTAGCAGTAGCTGTTCAGAAGATCGGATGAAGTGACTCCCCTATCTAAGAGAGCTGAAGGCTCTCCTTATATACACCGAGCTTTAGAACATAATATCTCCAGATCCCGAGCTGCGTCCCAGGCTCTAAGCCCCAGTCCCAGGCTCCGAGCCCCAGCCAAGGCTCTCTGTATACGCGACAGTAACTTTGTTTACTATGTGTAATTCCCCTATCCTAGGGGTTCTCCAGGCTAATCTAGCTCTCTTAGGTTTGCTTTATAGTATGCTTAGAAAAGAGTAACTTTTATAGTTACATGTACACTATTATTATACATAAACTTTGCTATTAGTAACTACATTACCTAATTATTTTATTCTAGGTAGTAGTAACACTTAAAGTACTATTCTAGGGTTTAGTTTTATCTTTTAGTTTACCTATCTATCTTAGAGTAGTAGGCTAACAAGAGAATCCTTTATATGCTAAAATAGTAATAAAAACTATTTTAGTACTTTAAGTTTATTATTAGCCTTTAATTAAAAATAATGTTCTTTAAACTCTTATAAAAGTAAATAACTTTTTTTAATTAAACTTTTACTAGGTTTAAAGCTTTCTAATTAGCTTCATCTAGCATATAGTAGGCTATCTAAGTAAGATAGTCTACTATTATAAGAATTATATTATATACTAACTCTAAGTATTTACAAGAGAGTAGCTGTGTTATAAAATCTATTGTAACATCCTACTAGAGCCTATTAGGTAGTAGTAAAGAGTAAAGAAGCCTATATAGGTAGTGTTGTAGAGCTACTAATTGTCTACACCTTAAGCAGTTATTATAGTACGCATTTATGCCCTTCTTAAGCCTTTTCTAATTATATTAATGTATAATTTTTTTAAGTCTCTTCTTTACACTAAAGTAGCCTACTAATAAGCTATTATAGCACTTTTAAAACACTTCTGCCTTCTTTTAGTCTATTATTAGAGTCTTTCTTTTTATATTAGCTATAGTATGTTATTTTAGCCTATTCTAGAGATAAGTGTTTTTATTAAGGTTTTTTTAATTTTTATTTTACTTTTAGTAGTTAATAAGTCTGTTTTGTTATAGTTTTCTTTAATACTTAATATAAAATCTTTATTATTATTTTTCTTTAGTTCTTTACTTATAACGTACCTAACGGGTTGGCCGGCCACACAGGTTGGCCGGCCACTTTTGCCAAGCCCCCACCACACTCTACCTATCTACATAATGCCTTAACAACAACACTAGATTAAATCTTCTAAAGAACATTAAATACAGCTTACTTTTTAAGCTCTTAAATAAGACTTAAAACTCTTTTTATAACGCGCTATAGCTATTTATAATGTCTTTTACATAACACTAAGCAATTAACGCGCTAGACAGCCTTTAGAAGCAGAATGCTAGCCTAAATTAAAGAATCTAACTAAGCTTAAAAAAAAGTTGTTGTTAAGTACATACTTAAGCTTATTACACACAGATTTCCCTCTAGGCTTATAGCTATAGCTAATATAGCTAATTTCTTGCGCGTAGAGTGCAATCTAGGCTAGCTTAGCTTAAACTAGCCTAGTATGTAGGTTAAGCACTGCCCTAAGTTTATAATAAAGTTTAATTATAAGTATAATTATAAAAGAGCACTTTATAAGGATTTAGAGGTTATCTAAAGCTAGTTTTGCCTAGTAGCTAACATAAAAGCTAAGTATAGTATCTAGAATAAAAACATGTATAACTTTAATAAGTTAAGCTTTATAATAGGCTAAATATTAACTAAAGTAGTTATTATAGCTTTAAAGAGATAAGAACAGCTAAAAGTAATATAGTAAAGTAATAAAAAGTAAATAATAGTTATCTAAAGCATTAATATAATAAGGTAAGCTATTTTACTTTTTATTATTTTTAAGGGCTGCTATTACTTTTTTACTTAGTATAAGAAGGAGAATCTGCTTTAAAACTAGGTTATTACAGTCTTTAAAAACAGCTAGACAATAAATAAGCTTAAGCTATAGTAGTTAAAGCACTTTAATAAGCATATAAAAAAAGAGTTATAAGCGCTTATTAGCTTTTTATTATTAACAGCTATAAAAGCTATAACTTGCTTAATTTTTAGTAGTACTGTAAGAAGAATAAGATTATTACTATTTATATACTTTTACACTTATTACACCTTTTACAGCTTTTTAATATAGGTTGTTTTGCCCCTTTAAAGAAGGTGTATAAGTGCTAAGCTAAAAATCTTATATATAACTAGATTACTTATATTATAAAACTTAAGTTCCTACTATACTTTATACACACTTATAATGTAGTAATTACTTTTAGTAATATCTAAGAAGGGTTTTAAGGCGCTAGTTTAGTTCTATTTAACTTAGAATAAGTTAAAATAGCCTTTAATATCTAGTTATGTACTCTATTACTACTACTACTTATTAATAATAAGCCCTAGTAGTTGTAAACTCTAAGTAATACTTTTAAATTTAGGTTATAATTAATGCTTATAAAAGTAAAAATTTAAAAGCATGTAAATAACTTACTAATATCTATAGTAAAGGCCTTTAAAAAGGTCTTAAAGGGGGCAGCAATTATTGCGCATAAGCTAGTGTTAGTGTAAAAGGAGATTATAAAGCTTTAAGCAGCAAATAAGGCTGCTACATAACATATATTACATAAAAAAAAGTAGATTTAAGTAAAAAAAACTTTAATAGTTAAAAATAGAGCTTGTCTAACCACTTTAAAAGAGTTTAAAGCGCGTAGTAATAGGAAGAAGCTAAAGACGCAGGTGCGCGCTAAAGAAGGTAAGCTAAGTTAAAGGCAATACAGGTAGTGTAATTAGACTAGGCATAACTTGCGTATGTGTAAAAAAATAGTAGAAGTAGACTCTAAATAATATCTTGTGTTGTATTACTTTATACAGGGCTAAAGTGGGCTGTTTTGCGAGAGAATAGAGTAGTTTTAGTAGGGGCTTGGCAAAAGTGGCCGGCCAACCCGTGTGGCCAGCTAACCTGTTAGGTACGTTAGCTTTTTTAAAATCTAGCTATTTTAGCTTTTATTTTTTTTTAAAGTAGTTTCTAGCTAAGCTTAAAATTTTTTAAAAATATATAACAGCTATAACTATTAATTTCTTTCTATAATCTTATTAATTTAAAAGGTTACAAATGTTTGTTACATACACTGCATTCTTCTTTTAAAAAGGCTATTATAACTTTTTAATATAGTTAAGTCTTCTTAAGAGTCTATTTACTAGGTTTAGCTTTTCTATACAGTGTGTAATAATAAAATTATATTGTATTATTCTATTATAAGCTTAGACTTATTAGTAGTTTAAAGTTTTAGTTTCTATAAACTAGTAAAAATTATTATAGTTTATAAAAAGTTTAAATAGTAAACTTTAAAAGTAATATTACTAATATACTAAACTTTTATTAATAGTAAGCAACTTTTTATTATAAGTATTATAATTATACTTAGCTTTTGTTGAATAGGCTCTATGCTAGCTAGCATTTGTAATTAGCAAGTACGTGCGAAGCAAAGAGGTTTGCACAGTGTATACATCGCGCGGGGAGAGGGAGGGGGTAGCAGGTAACTGTTGTTAATTGTTCTTGTTATTCTAAGTCTATGCAAAGAAAAGGAATATTTATCTATTTATACATGCAACTGTAACACAAGACTATGTTACATAACACCTAATAGCGTATCTAAATACTGCTGCTTAGACACTAGCAACTTTTTTTTCTTTGTACAGGCCTTACCTAGTTTACCTTACTTGTTCCACTAAAGCTTTTATTACATAGCGCTCTATTTATTATCTTATACAGGCTTAAGTCTATTAATTAACACTTTAACTCTAATAGTTAGTTAGTTGTGCAAAATTAGTTTCTTAAGTGTAGAATTTAGCGCCCTTTTTATATAGGCATCTACTAAGTTGTTTTTTCTATTAACTTACTTGATTTTTATAATCTTCTTTTTCTTATATAATTTTTAAATTAACATAATATTAATTATAAGCTTCTTTTTATTTATTATACTAAGTTTTATAAGACATTTATCTAGAGATCTTAAATCTATGCATAGTATAATAGGTACTAGAGGTATTCTAAGCGTACATATAATCTAGTTAATTATTGTGCTTAGTGTAATTACGTAGTTAAATCCTCCTACTATTCTATACAGTTTACTAGCTAGTATAGAGCAAGTAACACGTTTACACTTAGAGGAGTTTTAGTGTATAATATTGTTTATGTCTGTACGTAGCAACGGTGTTACAGTCTGGATAGTTATCGCGCGAGAGAAGGATCATGTAACTATGTCACATGATGCTCGTGCGCGAACCTCTGTGCGCGAACATCTAGATATTCCCCTTTTCCTCCGACAGAGGAAAGAAAGAGCAATACAGAACCAGAAACATGTTGCCCCCACCCTACCTACTTCGTACGCTGTGCACACCGTACACCACTCTTACTCTTGCTACTTAAGTGCTCATACCATAAGCAGCTAGCTGACAGAGCCCATTCAACGGTTTATAATTTTAAAGTTGTATAAATTTCTAGTGCGCTACTTAGTTTTAAAAATAATAAAAAAGCTAAGCTATAAACTTAAGTCTTTATTATTTATAAATAATTTATTAGTAAAGATAAACAACTTTATATAAAAAAATTAAGTATAGAGAGCATAGAGATATTCAAGAGCAAACCATACTTCAGACTTCTTTTCAGTGGAGACAAGGAACTGGCAAGGAAGGAGGAATTGGGGGAAGGGGAGTTCGTATACCATGCAGTCCTAGAAATGAGATCAGGGCAGTTGGATAGGGGTACGGAACATCGCCCGAAGGTTTGAAGATGGTGGTCGTACGTGGCGGCCGCCGTGACGGAAGTTAAAGGCGTGAAGGACGCAGATAGCGTGGTCTGTTGGCTGGGCACAGCGAGTGGCAGTTGTGTGACTAAGTGTTTAGTAGGTTGCAAACACCATGGACGGACAAGTGACACGAATACAAACAATTTGCAGATACAAATATACTAGGGGAAAGGCAAAGAAAAGCTTAGTGAACATGAAACAAATCACGTTTGAGAATAGGCCATCGCGTAACACCAGATGCCTGTGTACGTGTACGAGAACGCGTACAGTATACTTTAAGAGCAATTAGTGAAGGAAATCTGGCTGTAATGAGCGTGATATTTTCTCCTGCAACACCAAAAGATTAAGATAGAAAAGGAAAGACAGAAACGATTGTTCATCAGCCCGAAGTAAGGCCGATATACCCTAATACCAGACTATTTGGCGTCCTTTAAATAGGTCGCTTTGTGGAAATGGATGAGGACAAGGTGCTCTGGGAAGATGTGAGTAATTATGCTCGATAATAGATAGAGGATTCGCCAACCCTTTTCTGTTTTTTGGTTCTTCATAAGTGCCCGATAAGTTACTAAGCTTCTCCGGCCCTTGTAGTATCTGTGCAAATTGTCGACATGGCTCACAGTCTCTTCCACTGTGATGACCGCTTCGTTATTTACTGTAATTTGTTTTCCGCCTGGAGGTGGTAGAAGGGTTGGTGGTACTGGTAACTTCTTCTTGTCGATCTCGACGGTGCTCTCTTTGATGTCATCTTCCGTCTCAATATCCCCCGATTGCCAGGGAGTTGACGTAATAATCTCATCGACCTCAATTCTAATATCGTGCTCGACGTGTGGAGTATCGACATCACTCTGATCAACATCATTGTGATTACTATCCTCTGAAGTGGGTGTCAGTGGAGGAAGATCTTCCACTTCCGGAGGAGTTGCTGGGGGTGTTCGAGGCTTCGCGGATGGCCGACTCGATTGCCAATCAATACCGGAGAGCCGCCTTGGAGTTCGCAGAAACTCAGTTGCACTCAGTGGCGGATCGGAATTTCTGGCAAAATTCTGGCATGCTTGCCACCAGACCTGGCCTTCTGGTGGAACTAACTTGCTGTTTCGTTTAGAGCCACGTCCCTCGAGGGCTTGAAGTGCTGCAAGTTGTGGCGGGTCGTTGTTGATGCTTGCCACCGATTCATGCTCTAGATGAGAGACACGATGTTGGACGTCAAGTAGGATTGATCGGTGGGCTGAAAGCTCGGCTTGGATATTCTGGAGCATTTCAATGAGGAGCTGATTCGAGTGGCGGAGAGTCGACTTGGTGGTCGACGCAACCGAGCACCGATTCGAGGTCATCTCGCTGAGGGACGGCTTCTCTGGCGAGTGTGGGCTCGCTGCCATAAGATGTATTTGCTGCTCCACCGTCAGCTCTGCCATTGTCGCGCCCGAGAGGTGGGTTTTGACAGTTTTGGAAGCTGCCTCGTGGAGTAACGGAATAACATGTGCGGACATGAGGAAAAAGGGGACTATAGAATGGTTGCCATAACGGAAAAGCAACGGAAGGCGATAAGAAGAAATGTGAGAAAATAATTGTGATGTAACGAGAAGAAGCCCCTACAAGTCCGAACTCTCGTTGAAAGTACAGTCCTACTCTAAGACATTAAGCTTGACCCAAATGCCATATCACCCGCCCAAACGCCAAGTTTTCTAGGCGCTGAACCAATGCAAGGCCCTCTGCGGGCTTCGGCTTCAACATAGCCAAAAGGAGCGTCCGGAAGGTGTGGGATTGTCTTCTTTGGAGTGTGCCCAGGAAAGCCAAGAGGACCTGCGCATCCTTGCCACATCTTAGTGGAGGACCAAGACATCTACCAGACGGTGGTGCTGTAGGTTTTCTATCACCAGTTGTTTCAGCGAGGAAGGTTTGGTGTTTCGCAGAGATCGAGGCTCCAGGTTATCTCATGAATCTGACACGCTAGGTTATCTCAGGTGCTCAGCCGACTGTGCAGAGAAGCTCGGAGCCCTTGAGGACCCTCTCTCCCTGCTACTAGGAGGGGGATCTTACGACCCAGGATAGGGCCGTGCTAAATTTAATCAGCTGACGCACGGTCTCGCCTGACGCACGCACACACCGGATTTTGCCAATTTTCGACATTATTGCAACTCCACTAATATAGACTGTATTAAGGACGCGCTGGCATATATAAAATCACTAGAACTAGGAGAATTAATTAATATCACTATAATAGCTAAAAAGTATAGTGTTAAAAGGACTAGGCTATTAAAGCGTTAGCAAGGCGTCTAGGGCTTTTGTGTAGAGCAGTACAAAAACTAACAACTACTTAATAAGCAATAAGAGAAGGAGCTTATAAAGTATATTAAGCAGCTTTGTAAGCATAGCCTACTACCTATAAGGCAATAGCTACGCAATTTTGCTTTAGAACTTTATAGTAGAGAAATAGGGAAAGTCTAGCCTAATTACTTTCTTTAACAGCATTAAATCTCCCTAGTTACTTACTAGACCTTTAGCCTAGATTAAGATAAAAAGTAAGCTAATTTAGCCTTTAAATATAAGCTCTATTATTTACTATAGCAGAAAATTTAGGAGTACAAGATAGCGCCACAGCATATATATAATATAAATAAGAAAAGCTTTCTTATTAGTGTACTATTAATAATAAAGCAGATCTTCTCTAGGCAGAGATATAAAAAAGGTGGCCTTAAGCAAGCTATATAGGACAGTAATTATAAGTAGATAACCTGTATAGCTTGTATCTGCGCTAACAGCTCTGCGCTCTCTCTAGGCCTTATCTACTAAGCTAGCACTAGTAATATCTAAGATAGCTAGTTACAGAATTTTAACTTAGTAGTACATAAGTGCTTCTTTGCTTTATCTTCTAGTAGCTAGATAAATAATAATTTAGGCCTGCGCTAGCTTAAACAGCTGTTTAATAAATAGACAAAAAAGAAAGCTTATTAGGTGTATAGGCTATTAACTCTAAATAGCTATAAATCTTATGTCTCTATAAAGTTTATTAACTACTGGAACTAGAATAGGATTTTGCTAGCTGTCTATCTACCTTATTTAACCTATACGCTATAGCCTCTTAACATTAGCCTGTTTAAGCTACTAGTAACAGCTTATTTAGACAAACTAGCTAGTTTTATATATAAATTAATAAGGTTTATAGCTATTATAAAGTAAGACTTTTTTTACCTGTTTAACAAAGCCTAGTAGACCTTATTTATAAAGAAGAATATACTCTCTAGCTTTAAGGCCTGTAGCCTAGCGCTGTTTAACTCTAAGAGAGTCCTTGCTTAATTTAGTACTACTAGTACTAGTAGACCTTCTTTTAGTAAGAGCTCTTAGTTAGCTTTTACTGCTTAAGATTAGAGACACATAGACAAGCTTTTACATAAGGTAGTTAGTAATATCTTTAACTAGTAAGCTAAGCAGCTTAGTAATACTATACACAGTTTCTTAATGCAGGTTATAACTCTCTAGATAGAGAATTAGGGCCTTACAAAAGCTCTAGTTAATAAAAAAAAAGTAGAAGTGTAGCAAACCTCTTTTACTTATAGCTTCTAAGCAGTACTACAGTGGGGCTGTATTCTATAGTCCTAGAAAGGTTTAATAAGCATGTAATTAATAAGTTAAGAAGGAAGCTGCTGCAGAGCTCTTACGTTAATAAAAAAGATAAGAAGACTAGGTGTAAGAAGGCTAAAAAGCGTAAGAAAGCTTGTATAGCTAAGAAGAGAAAGCATATAAGGGCAGCTGCTAAGAACGCTTAACTATAAAAGGCTAAGGAAAAGAGGCTTTAGAAGGAAGAAAAGCAACTAGCTAAGAAGGCTAACTGCTAACTCTAAAGCAACATTAAAACTTTTAGGAAGGCTAGGAAGACTACACAGCCTATAGCTAGTAGGCTAGAGCAAGTAGTTAAGGATTAATTAATTGTTAAAGTGGTAGGGCCGCCATGCGAGCAAAATCGCAGAGGCAGAGCTATCAAGCTTCCTGCACGCTTCTGCGACTAGCTAGTAGCCTCAAATTAATTGCTGTAATTGGCTTCCTAATCCACTAAAAAACCAGGCCTATATTCTATTTATATGTTGCCCTAGAGCTTCAAGTCGCGGTGCCGCTGTACGGCAAATTCCGTGCGTCAGGCGAGACCGTGCGTCGGCTGATAAAATTTAGTAAGCGAGTGTCGGACAGCACTAGAGCTATACAATCACTATTGGTGGACAGCCCTCTTGGCTACACAGTACGAGGCTTGGCGTAGCCCAGCCGGAACAATTAGATCATGGTATACTAATCAGGCAGAGCTAACTGCAGTGGATGCAACAACCGCAGAATAAATCTGCAGCCACAGCGACTACTACAACTAAACATTAAGTAATAGTCTTAATCTTAGCCTTAGTTAAAAGGTTATAATTAAAGTTTATTTTTATTTTTATAGTAAGACTAAGTAGCTATAATTGTTTTTAAAGACATTATTACTATTGTATATCTTATACTATATATACACTTTAATTATTATCTTTACAAGATTATTTCCCCTTGTTAGATATGCGCACCTACTGTTAAGATAGGAGGAACGCTTGACGAAAGCTGCTACATAGTACGAGCAATAAGCTCGAACAGCATGTTGCAGCAAATTGCAGCATTTTGCAGCATTTTGCAGCATTTTGCAGCATGTTGCAGCAAATTGCAGCAAATTGCAGCATTTTGCAAGCTGGTCGCGTATAGGGCAAGTGCGCGAGGGACTCGGACCGGCAAAACAAAAAGCCGAGCAACACGAGTAGAGCAGAAAAAGGATCGATAAATAAATACAATTAATAATCATCCTATACATCATATCCAAACCCATCATTCATCTCAGGAAGCCTAGAAACAGTGCTTCAATCTGACACCTACCTTCCTCCATCGCCCTTATAGGCTTAGCCTAAGACTGTACACCTCTGTCTAGCCTATCCTTATCACTTGCGCTGTTATTACACTTAGGCCTACGCACTTAACTTTGCGTCCTTATTAGCATGTAACTAGTAAGTAGATATTGTAACAGGGGACCCCTACTAGCTTCTCTACTAACAAGGCTAGCTAATTAGAAGCTTAGGAGCGCTTTCTCTATCTAGCTGTCTAAGAGACTTTTGTAAATTTTTAAGTGATAACGTACTCTACAGGCAAGTTGCTTATACGCCTAAGTTGCTTACTTTTACTAAGACTCTACTAAACTACTCTTCTTACACTAATGCATTCCTAATAACACTACTTAGATGTGCTAAAAGAACATTAGATATAGCTTATACTTTAAGCTTTTAAATAAGATATAACAGTTTTAAAGTAACATACTATAGCTATATATAAAATCTTTTAAAAGATAATAAATAACTAACATGCTAGATAAATTTTACAGGCTAATTCTATAGCTAACTTATAAAGGCTAGGAAATAATAAAAGTAGGTAATTATTAGGCATATACTTAAGCTATAACGTACTTCACGGGCGAGTTGCTCACACACCCGAGTCGCTTACTTTTGCCAAGACCCCACCCTAACAAACTCTATTATAGCCTATAACAACCCGCTCTAGCACTATATAGTATAGTACAGCCTAGAATATTATTTAGATACTACTTCTGCTTCTTACTTACACATTTACGTGTTATGCCTAGTCTAATTACACTGTCTACAGCGCCTTTAGAATAGCTTACCTACTTTAGCTTACACCTGCTTCTTTGCCTTCTTCCTGTTACTGCGCGCTCTAAACTCTTTTAAAGCTGTTAAGCGCAGGCTTTTCTAAATTATTAAGGTTTTTTCTGCCTTAATTTACTTTTTTTTATATAATTTATGTTATGTAGTAGCCTTATTAGCTGCTTAAAGCTTAGTAATTTTCTGTTACACTAATACTAGCTTATATATAATTATTACTGCCTTTTTTAAAACCTTTTTAAACACTTTAACTATAGAAGTTAGTAAACTATTTATATACTTCTAAATTTTTATTTTTATAAGCATTAATTATAACCTAAGTTCTAAGGTATTACTTAGGGTTTACAACTACTAGAGCTTATTATATATAAGTAGTAACGTACTTCATGGGCGAGTTGCTTACACACCTAAGTCGCTTACTTTTGCTAAGACCCTACTACACTACTCTTCCTACACTAATGCATTCCTAACAACACTACTTAAATGTGTTAAAGAAACATTAGATATAGCTTACACTCTAGGCTCTTAAATAAAACATAACACTTTTTAACTAACGCGCTGCAGCTATCTACAGAGTCTTTTAAAAGATAATAAGTAACTAACACACTAGATAACCTTTCTAAGCTAATTATACAGCTAACTTATAAAAGCTAGATAATAATAAGAAGTAGGTAATTATTTAGCACATACTTAAGCTAAATGCGCAAGGATTTCCCCCTTAGCTAGTAGCTGTGGCTAATATAGCTAATTCTTTACACGCTAAGCACAATATAGGCTATGTTAGCATAAACTAGCCTAATATGTTTGTT